CTTGAAATAGAGCTGGGTTACGGCGCTTCGTGACGGCTTGGATCTCGTTACAGATTTCAGCTTCAGAAGGTGGGTCTATTGATGCAGACTTTAGTGTCTGTGCTGGAAAGATTATGGCAATTTGACTCGTCCATGCCCTCCACCTGCGTTCTCCTAATTTCCATTCCTGAGGGGACTAGACCATGCGCGACCCTATAAATATAGCAGAGTTCTTTGGTCACCGGACTTTTCTCTGGCGCTTTCACTGAGCTTCAACTGATTTTAATTGTCCTTTATCTACAATCGTTGGTAACGCATTGTGGTAAATGATTCAGTGATATTCTGGAAGTCACAACTACCTTCTACCCTATAAGGGTTTGTGGCACACTACTACCAGTCGAAGGGCCTAGGTCGGCTGTTCACATAAATCACTATGGGTTTCTCTCGTCCGTTTATTATACAATGAGATATAATGAAAAGAAAAACGTAGGTGGAATCAACGTTGCTGTTACGAAGTAAACTCTAATGAACTACGCCTAAACGTAGTGCATCACATCGGTCTTGCTACCTCCGCTTATCTTATTCCACCCGTACAAGGAAAATTGTAAATCTGTGGCGGATTAAGTCACGAAATAACCGAATCTCTTACCGAAACGAAATCCGCGATAGATTTACTTATGTTCATTTTATCGTCTTTAATGGTTATAGGTCGTCCCTCCTTGATTCTTTCTAGAGCAGCCGGACAATCCATCTAGGAGGGGAAGGAAATAAAAGGTTGGGATAGAACAAACCTTGTATTTGTGCATGAATGATTCGACATTAGGGAATTCACTACCCTGAATTTGTCTGAATGCAGCATTATATTGCACTAGTAGTTTGGAACAAGCTGCTGTATACCTATTAAGATTATATTTGAAATCCTGAACAAAAGAACAAACTCTTTTGAGTTTATTTGATCTTTGATGTACGCCTTCTGGAGACATTGAATAGTGTTGATAACGGCATACAACTCCGCGAGATTATCATACCTAGACTGTTTCAAAGCATGTAAAAACACTTACTTTTCGCGGTCCCTTGCATCACGTTTGAGTCGAACCTCCTAGAAAATTATTCAAATATAAATTATGGCGACTTACCTCGTATAACTCAAGGCGATGAGTCACTAGCAATATTGATTGAAATTTCGAAATAAAACAGTGTGTTTGGATCAAAAGTTCACAAAAAATGGTAAAAGAGAACAACACATTATGCATCAGAGCAACCAACCGGTTATGAACACCAACCCGTTGCCGGTTGGTAGCACTTAGTTGTGCCTGGGATAAAAAGCCATTCCAAAACGGTCAAGTGACGCTGGGGAGTTCACTCCTTGCCAAATCCCGAAGTCTCTTCAGGGATCTTCAGTCTATCACTCTCCATGCCTATACAACGGTGTTCTCTGGAAGTGACGTGTTCTGTGCTGTCCCAATGTCCACTGAGCGGGCTGGTAAGTTTGATACTAGAAACAGAATGCACATAGCACGCTAGAGTCCGGAAGTCATTGTACCACCAGGCTCTCCCTCTCTCTTAACGACCAGATTTTGCCTGTTCATCGGAAGGGCATACATGAGGCCCAAGAACTAGAAAAAACAAATTACCTTAAGATAACACTGTCTATTGCATAAAGAATAGTGATGTCCGGAAAACTTTGGCCATTAAGGAATAGAGCTACATGAATGTTGACGCTCGATAGGCTGAGATTTTAAAGAATCTGATCTCTTCCTGAATTTATGCCACACGCTTCTCAGAAAACGAACTGATAACCACATATGCACTAACTTTGGCAGCCGATATCACTGTAAAGGATTTTTCACACACGTCTGAGTCCAAACTGTGTGCAAAAAGAATTCTGGGTGAATTTTGTAGTCAGCTGCAAAATCCGGCTGCCGTAAGCCTAGGTGAGATATTCTGATATTTGTAAACGGGTGGCAGTGGTCACCCGCTCAAATGGNATGGTAATAACCATTGTATTGTGTATTGGACACCTTGGACGTCTGACCTTGTCCAAAGGACTTATGACCCAATGAACTGAACACCGGCCCCCAACGGACTGCGAACTCTGAGCTCCGTCGTTTTGTCTTGTAGGTTTGGCTTTCTAGCCAAAGGCTTCGGATGGGGACCAGGATGCTACCCCCTTCCTCGGTCAGGGCAACCGGGAAGTAATATGCCCACACAACCTATTCTGCAGATTTATATTTGTTTATATGTAGCACTTTTACCAATTCTCTGTAATTCGTTACACGTTGAAATAATTAAAACGAGTGAAATACGAGCACCGAACCCTCAGATAAGTAGTCTTCACGCTCTAGGAACAGTCGGCTTCGATAGGCGATGTAACCTCAGCGAACGTCTAGTCTTGTTTGCGGACCTCCACTGACTAGTGAGGGGCAAAACCAGGTTTTAGCACCCCACGGGACACCTACAATGGTTGCAGTCCAACGTTGGCCACACGACACGCCAAACTGACTACTCGCTGCTGTGTTCTCGCTGAGCATCGAAGACTGTAGAGCTTACCGAGGTTCAGAAACAGAAAACGGTTATGAACCACAAACGGAGAATGGTCGTGGACTATAGCCAAACAATCAACAAGTTCACCAGCCTGGACGCATATCCACTACCCAGAATCGATGATATCATAGAGAATATTGCTAAATACAGCATTTTCAGCACACTAGACCTCAAAAATGCATACTACCAAATTCCTATTCGGGAAGAAGAAAAATGTTTACTGCTTTTGAGACATGTGGACGTTTGTAACAATTCCGTCGTATTCCCTTTGGTGTTACCAACGGCGTTTCATGTTTCCAGAGGGCTATTGATGGGATCTCTCTTGAAAATCTGAGAGACGTTTGTCTACGTTGATAACATTACTGTTTGTGAGAGAAACGCAGTTGAACATGACCGCAACCTCAGGGATTTCTTGAACGCTGCCAAAAACCATGGTTTGACTTTTAACGACGATAAAAGCATCATAGGTGTGAAGGAAATCAAACTGATTGGTTTTCAAACAACGAAAGGCAACATCAAACCGGATCCTGATCGGTTTAAGCCGTTGCGAGAAATTCCCGCACCCACGAATTTGAAATCACAGCAAAGGATTGTGGGTTTCTTCTATTCCATTACTATTCCCCATGGATTTCGAACTNTGCAAGAAATGCCCGCACCCACGAATTTGAAATCACAACAAAGGATCGTGGGTTTTTTCTCTTACTATTCCCCATGGATTTCGAACTTTTCCGACAAAATCCATTCGCTGGCACATAACCAAACTTTTCCAATAACTGCGCATGTAAAACAAAGCTTCGAAAGTCTCAAGCACGTACTGGCAACAGTAAGCCTGGCGACCATTCGCTTCAATATCCCGTTTGTCATCGAAACTGATACCTAGGACGTGGCAATCGCTGCTACGTTGAATCAGGAGTGACGCCCTGTCGCGTTCTTTTCTAGAACTTTAACTCAAGGGGAGAGACATCATTCAGCAGTTGAGAAAGAAGAATACGCCGTAGTCGAAGCCGTCCGGAGATGGAGTCACAGCTACTCGGCAAATCATTTTAAACTCATCACCGATCAGCGTTCTGTCTCCTTCATTTTCGGAAACCAGCACCGTGGAATAGTCAAAAATGATGAAATCCTGCGATGGAAAATGGAACTGTCTCCTTCAGCTTCGATGTTGTGTATAGACCTGGAAAGCAAACTACGGCCACCGACGCACTTAGTCGACCTTGCTGTGGAGCTCTCCTCGCCGGACCGAACCTCAGAGAA